TATATTCTTTCTCCATATTTTAGTAAAATCTCAATTTTTCTGCCAATTATCTTATTCTTGAGTTTGTGATTAATTAGTCATATAATGTCATATTATTTTCTCACATATTATCACAACAAATTGATATCGAAATTATCCAGTATTTTTATTATTGTTACAGAGGTCCCACCACAGATTTCTATAGTTACTGAGCCGACTCTAGAGTCTCCAATTAAGGTACCTACATTTCCTCCTTCCATTGCTTCAATTATGATTATTCTTGGTGTGCTGGAGGGGTTTCACAGAACCCCTCCAGAACACACACAATAGGTGGGGCCCCCATGTGGGACCCCCTCATAAAAAAGTCAAACCCCCTCACCTATTGTGTGTGTTTTGGAGGGGTTCTCAAAAACCCCTATTGTACACCAAGAATAATCCCATCCTCCTCTTATTGAGGTACGCACCTGAGCCCACACATGTCAGTTCTCTTAAATGCATTATATTATTTGCTATTTGCAGATGTAAATTGAAAAAATATATATTGGGTTGATAATTTTAGAATTTTCGTTTGTCCATTCAATATTTCAGGTTAAGTTTTACTTTCAATATCTTATTTGTATTAACACTACCCTATTCTCAGTTTCACAATTTAGTTTTCAAACACAAATTGAATTATCTAAGACCCAATTGCCCCTAATCCTACGAAGGTCCATATTACTGACCACGTGGCATGAAGCTAGGAAAACAACAAGAAATCACCTTAGTCCACACTTCATATCAACTGCTTACTTGATCTGATCGAGGCCATCAAGTAAAGGAAGTTGAAGTGATACCATCACTTTAGCCGAAGCAACATGTAGAGGCCGAACTTCCTTGTCCGAGGTGAGTTGCCATGATCTATTGCAACCTATTTATGAAGAGATATGTTTTTTGCTCTGCAAGGCATCTACGATGGTTTTGCCTCATCCAAGAGATCCTCCATACTAGAGATCTTTAGATCTAGGCCATAGCCCATAGGGTAGCCACTTTTCAAAATTATTAAATGTCATCTCAATCTAGGATTGTAGAGGTGGCGCCTATGAGGTTGGTGCATCGACTTCCAAGATAAGGTTGCATGTCATTTATTCAATGATAACCACCTCTTCTCATCTACAATAAAAGCTCACACTTAATGTCTTTTATAGGTAATACAATTTTACACTGTCAATAGTAATATTACTTGGTATTCTTTTTTGAATTTGGTATCATACACATCATTGTGGCCCATGTCTACCGTTAATCCCATTTAAATAGACAACGTTAGTTGACTGACTTGATTGATGGAGTGCTTGCAGATGCACCCACATGCCTTTTACGTTTTGTCCAAGTGTCCATGAACATTTCACGTGGATGTGAATATAGCTCAGGTCTATTGACAACGTTGTCTAGTCGGAAACTGAAGTCAACATAGCCTGTTAACTTTGAGACAATTCTTAATATATATTAAAATTCTTCTATATAAGCCTTGTAGTCGAGTCCCAAATGCAACCTAAAAGTTTAATTTGTGAGTGTTAATTTTGAAAACACCAATATAATTTATACCTGAAATTTAGAAGAAAACATTAATGGAAAATCTGCATCAACTTGTAAATTAATATCCATCAATACATACATCGAGAAAATAACCGGTAAAAATGATAGAAACTGAATAATATATTACAGGCATCACTGAAAATGTAAAAGGAAAAAAAGAGAGAAATCTTGTTCCATTTTCTTAATTAACCCTTGGAATCCATTGTTCATCCCCCTTTTCTCTCTAGGCAGCACTCTGTAGAACATCATCAACACTTTTCACAATTTCATTCACTGTCGCACTGAATTCTTTCTCCTTCTGAAAGGAAGTTCAGAAAACAAATACAGGGTTAGCTCAAAAAATTGCAGAAATAAAGCAAGGACTTATACTACATACTAATTTTGTTAAACTCAGTCTAAAAGTTTAACCTACAAAGACTAGAGATACTTATATATGCATATCTATTCAAATTCTGCATGGAGTGCTCTTATTTAAAAGCTAAACTATAATAACTTTTAAATGAGGTTATGGTATACGATTAATAAGTGGAAGGGATATTAACTACCTCTGCTGTGATACTAACTTCAAGGGATAAACTTCCAAAAGACACCACATTGGTGTTAACAATTCCCAAATTAAGCTTCTCTACCTCATCAAGTATTTTCACCAAAATCCCTTCTCTTTTCTCACAATGAATTCTGAGAAGAACATTCTTGCCACACTCGCTGGCCTTGATTGTTGGCGGTTGCTGCAGCTCAGTCGACGAGGATACGTTGTCGTCCACCACCACCTGTGAATTCTTGGTAACTATCTCAGCCTTTCTTGCTTGTTCCTCAAGTATCTTCACTCGTTTTTGAAGGTATTCCATATACCTAATGGCTTTTTCCAGTGCAGAAATTTCCTTATCCATCTGCACACAGAAAATTAAGAACAATAATTTTATGTCTGATGATATGTTCTTGAGAATAGGCAATAGCTGTATATATAGCTAAAAATATATACAGACAAGTGGAAAACTTTTATTTATGTACGTACACGTAGTGACCTGTAACTCAGGCTTGTGGCAGAAACTGTTTCGTAAGCTCGTGGAATTGAGCCTATTTCTTTATTCAGGCTCTGTGTCGTATGATTCCCGCAAGTGTCACTAAAAGAATTTGTCGTTCACATAAATGGACAAAAGGCTATTATGTTACGGGGAGCTTAGGAAAGTTGAAATGGACAAATATGAGTGTTATACTACGGTTTCGCAACTATACTATACAGTAAGACGAGTAATAAAGTAATGAAAAAAATATTGTCCCATAATAATTGCGAACCTAACTTAGATAAAATTATGCCTAACTTAAGCCGAACGTTCACGGATTTTTTAATTAACCAATTCACATTATACAATTTACGAAAATAAGTGAAAAGTACGTATTGATTCAAGAGAAAAATTCAAATATGAGCGATAATCATCTTAATTTTTCTTATAATTTATCTTGAGTAGGGTAAAACTTATTTTCATGTACAATCCTAATATATCTCTATCGAGAATTTGAATAAATAAAAATGCATTCAGCTTCATGACTGTTGGATTGTGATGCCATTTGTGACATTTGTAGCTCAACCTTTAAGGGCAATGATGAATTGGGCTTGGCTTGCAATTGCCCAATAACTCATTGAAACCGGCCCAAGAAACCAGCCCACTTATCTTGCCACTTTTGTTGCTTTAGGCCGTTGATTCCATGGCTGATCAATGGCTCATTCTAATGGATATATATATATATGTATACCAGTTGAACCGTCTATCTGGGAAGGTTTTTGTCATTACGATTTTCTCTTCTGTGTTGGGAAAACTTCTGGTTTTTCCTGTTCTTCGTGATTTCGCTTTGCTCTTCTCGTTTCTTTGTGATTCTTTATGTATGATTAAAACATTTGGTTTTAATCTTCAATCTTAGTGATTGTCTGCCTCTGTGGTTCTTCGAGAGAGAAAGTATTTCAGGCTTGATTGTGGCTGTGTGTCTTCGGCCTATTAAGTAGCTATAGTGGAAGTAGATTAGGGGTTTTGGTATTTTCTTCTGGCTGTTTCAATGTACAGACATGTACAATGTATTCTGAGCCCTATGTTGAATAAAGGATCAATTTCTTGATGTAGTTTATGCTTCCGTTTTGAGGTTCTTTTCCTTAAAAGTGGTATCAGAGCGTTAGTAAGGTGTTCTTGAGTTCTCGATTGATAGTTCTATTACTGGAAAATCAATTTTCAGATGATACCCTAAGATCGATCTGAAATTGCATAAACCCTAACCTTAATTTTTCCCCAATTTTTTTTTTTTCGGTTTTGGCTACTAATTTTCTTTCTCTGTTTTTTGTGTTTCTTGCGAGGACCCTGATTCTTAGTGAACCTAGCTGGAGGTGTGACCTTCGAGTTGCTTGTTACTGGCTGTGGAACCCGCTTGGTGCTTGTTCCTTCGAACCAGTGTGGTGAAACATTCCTAAACCCTTTGCATTCCTTGATTCTTGATTATGTTATTACAATATCTTGAATGTTGTAAATTCTCCCTGATTTTCCCTGTGTTTTGTGTCCCTCTGGCGTTTAGCATTGAGCCTTAACTTGGGATCTTGAATCTCACGGAATTCTAGTGAATTCTAACACCTGGAATTGGTAGAATCCTGATTATTAGTCTTTTATTTCAGTAGCTTTATTCTTTGTGAATTCTTGTGATTATAGACCTGTTTAATCTCACTATCTATTTTTGTGATTCTTTGAGTTTATTAAACTGCTTATTATCACTGTTATCTGCTGTTCACTGAGTTAATAGTCTATTTTGAGTTTGATATATTTTCATTCCTGTTTTGTTTACACTGTAATTTGTGTGACTTTTAAATTGGTTATTTGAAATATATGTTTACTGTTTTTCTGTAGAACTGTGAGCTCAAAATTTTTATGTGTTGATTAAAAATTTCAAATGACAATAGAAACATTTAAACTTGGAGTTTTTAATGGAAAAAAGGGATTTTTTTCATTTGTCAGCAAAAAATGAGAAGGGTCTTATTTCAACAGAAAGTTTCTAAAGCTATAACTGGTGAATTTCCTGCTACTATGACTGATGATCAA